AACTCGTTCAACATTAATGCAGCCTTCATTAGAAAGAAGGGTGACTGAGCAGGGAGCTTGACAGAGGGGAAGGTCAGATCCTGGTAAGACACACACAGGAAAAAACTGCAGCGACTGCCGGACACGGAAGAGGGGAGAGGCGACAGTGCTAGAGTTTCCTGGGTGGCAGAACCCTCCTCAGACTCAAGCAGAAGGACTGGGAAGGAGAAAAGAGACACTCTGTAAAGAGGTGAACTTAGGGGAGAAAGCCACTGCAGAACTGCTGGGCGGATGGTGCAGGCCTGTAATCTCAGCAACTCACAGGCAGAGGCAGGAGGTTTGTAAGTTTGAGGCCAGCTTTAGCAATTTAGCAAGGCCCTAAGCAACTTAGGGAGAACCTGTCTCAAAACAAAAATTTGTTTAAAAAGGACTGGAGGTGTAGTTCTGTGATAAAGCACACCTGGGTTCATACCTGAGTCCAAAAAGAAAGAAAAGAAAGCCACTGCAGAGACAGGCTAAGACCCCAGAGTGAGGCCACCAGCCAGGGTGGCTTGGACAGAGGGTGGGAGCTGGGGCTGCAGGAAGCTTGCACACAGAGCTCTGCAAGGCCTGGTGGCTCTGTTGGTCCTTCAGGACGGTGGCCCTGGAGGAGGTGAGAGCAGCTGCATCCCACCTTGGAAGCAGGCCCAGGGGAAGAGGCCACACAGGGCAACGGAAAACAGTTAATTCAAAGACCCGAGTGTCAATTTAGTTCTGTTCCTATCCTGTAGTAGATCAAGTGATCCTAGGCAGGCACTCACCTTCTCTGAATCTCAGCACTTACCTGCAAACTACAGAATTACCTGACAACCTTGAGGACTGTGGTGGGGTGAAATGGTGAACAGGACGGCACTGCAGAAAGATCCATACACACACAAGGCTTCGCTTCACTACTCAGGGAGAGACCACCCCACCAGGTCTGGGCAGAAGAGTCCTTTTTAAGCATACACATTTTTCAAATAATACACATTTTAACTGCCAGCACAGTGAAAAAAATCTTTTAATTATAAATATGTAACTATAGGTAATTATCATATTTCATACCCACATTAATGCATATATATGCTCACATATACACATGTACTTTTTTTTTTTTAAGAGAGAGAGGGGGGGTGGGGAGGGAAGGAGAGGGAGAGAGAGAATTTTTTTAATATTTATTTTTTAGTTTTCGGCAGACACAACATCTTTGTTTGTATGTGGTGCTGAGGATCGAACCCGGGCCGCACGCATGCCAGACGAGTGCTCTACCCGCTTGAGCCACATCCCCAGCCCTATACACATGTACTTGCTTCTAAAATGCCACTTAAAGCCAGGCATGGTGATGCACAACTGTAATCCCAGAAGTTTGAGAGGCTGAGGCAGGAGGATTCCAAGTTCAAAGCCAGCCTCAGCAATTTAGTGAGACCCTGTCTCTAAATAAAATATAAAAAGGGCTGGGGATGTAGCTCAGTGGTTAAATGCCCTGAGTGCAATCCCCAGTACCAAATACATTTTTAAAATGCTACTTATTAATAACATATAATTATAGATATTGTGTAACATATACATATATACCCATATATTAAGGAATCTGCTATCCATGGTCATGCATATATAAACCTCAGTGTTTCACACTTCATCTGACTTACCCTAGCTAGATACATGCTGAAACAAACTTTGTCACCAGAAATGCTTGGGGCAATTAAGGAAAAGAAAAAGGAGGATAACTAAGATCCAATCTAAAGGAACAAAAGAGGCAAGATGGGAAAAGTGAATGGCTGTCCTGATTAAATGTGTCCCAGGGCCTGGTGTTGACTCTGGTGAGAAGTGACAACCAGGAACAACCAGAGAACACAATCGGGCAGTAAAACCAGTCGGCCTGTGGCAGACTGTGTGGTCTTATGATAGGGGCTCTAGAATGTTCCGGAGGAAACAGGCACTCTAGCAGCATGAATAGAAGGTAGGTATCAAGGGGAACTGGGGGGCAGGAAGAGAACATGAAAGGCTACAGAAGGAATGTGTAGCGGGAACAGGGAGTTTGCACTGGATCACTGAGTTTCCTGCTCCCCACTGCGAGCTCTCTAGGAGAGGAGCAGAGCTGCTAAGGAGACTGTCACAGCAGCAGAGATGTCTCTAAAGAAGGGTTCAAGGAGTTCCCAGAGGAGAGGCAGAACTCAACCCAGGACCAGTGAGGTTCTTGGCATGTATAATGGAAAATAATTTCAGCACAAGCTAGGCAAAGGCATAGAAAGGTTTATTTAAGGCAGCAGATACATATTTAAGGGAGAAAGTAGGCTGTCTCAAGAGTGAGGAGCAGCCCCAACTTGGTCTGGGATCCATACTTGGTCTGGGATCCAATATTTACAGAGGGGCTGGACTAGAGGTGGATCCCGGCTGGAGCTGCACAATTTTGCACCAGCTTTCCTGCCAGATCTCCTGCACTTTACGAGGGCATGGGCCAACGTTTACAATGGTGTTTTCTGCATCTCAATGGCTTGATTCTGCATTTCAATGGTTGGAGGGTGTTTCCCTTAAAAATTCCTACATACTCACTCTCCTCATCCTAGATCCCAACGTCACTAGGACTGGGAACCACCGCAGAGCGACTGTCTGATGGCCTGGACAGCTATTGCAGAAGGGCCTTCTCTTGAAGGAAACAAGTAAAAAAGCAATCCCCAGGGTCCAGGCCCCCTCAGCCTGCTTTGCCAAGTCTCTACTCCCAGGTTCCTTCCACTTTTTCCAACAAGAGCAAGGATATCCAGGACCAACCACCAAGGCCCTCAAGCTTGGAGAAAAGAGGATGAGGCAGTAGACACCAGCAGCACCAAGTAAGCTCTGAGGAAGGAAGGGCAGTGGGAGGCCTGGAGGGCTGGCTAGGAAAGGCTTCTTAGACTAGGCAGTTTGGCCAGCCTTCAAGGAAAATGAAGATTCAGGATGCTGAGAGTGAAAAGGGGTATTACAGGAAAGAGCAAGTCAGGACAAGGAGGCAAGAAAAGGGCCACTACAGTGAGTCCTGAGCCAAGCATAGCACGTGCGAGACGCTGGGTTCGATCCTCAGCACTATATAAAAAAAAAAAAAAAAAAAGGTATTGTGTCCAACTGCAACTAAAAAAAATACTTTAAAAAAGAAACAGGTGACAGCTGCACTGTGGAGATCCTCCCCCTGGCTCCCATTCTCTGACCAAAGTTTCTGTCTCTGTTGTCTAAGGACTTTGAGTTTGGCCCATGAACACCCAACGATAAAATTTTCTCTTTTTGTGAGTTTTGATCTGGGGAGAAGGTAAGTGATTTATGATGAAAACTACTAATGCAGGCAACTGGCAGAGTAGCCTATGTAGACAGGAAACGAGCCTCGGGTGGAGAAGACCATTTCTGTCCCTTCTGACCTTTCTTTTTTTTTAATTAGTATTTTACTCTGTGTGTGTGTGTGTGTGTGTGTGTGTGTTAGTGTGGTGTTGGATGTTGAATCCAAGGCCTCACACATGCTAGGCACTCAACCATAGAGCCATATCCCCATTCCTTTTTATTTTTGGGGGGGTATCAGGGATTAAACCCTTGGGGGCTTAACCACTGAGCCACATCCCTACCCCTTTTTATTTTTTTTGAAACAGGGTCTCACTAAGTTGCTGAGGATGGCTTTAAATGTGGGATCCTCCTGCTGTAGCCTCCTGAACCACTGGGATTATGGGAGTGCCACAGTGCCCACTTTATTTTTTGAGACAGAGTATTACTAAATTGCTAAGGTTGGCCTTGAATTTACAATCCTTCTGTCTTAGCTCCCATGTTGCTGACTGCTGGGATTATAGGCATGGGACACTGTGCCCAACTTAAAATTTAATTAAAGAATTTTTCCCAGGTACAGTGGGCCACTGGTAATCCCAGATGTTCAGGAAGATCACAAATTTGAGGCTAGCCTTAGGAACTTGGCAAGACCCTATCTCAAAATAAAAAGTTAAAAAGGGCTAGGAGGTTAGCTCAGTGATAGAGTATCCCAGGCTCAATCCCAGCACTGTTAAAAAAAAAAAAAATCTGAATTATCATTTTTACTTCCAGAACATGAGAAACTTGGAAGGCAATTTTTTTTCACATCCAACAATCCTTTATCTTAGTGTGTAAAAGTTTCCTACTGTGCCTTACATTTTTTCAAATTATTGACAGAGAAGGCATTTTCCGATGCGCTTTCACTATGGCCTTTTCTTCCAGGGAAAAATACTAATAAGAGAGTGAAGTTAACTCTTAGGCATTTCTTAAAGTGAATTCTCATCCAGATTGGCAGAACTAGAACACAAGGAAATACACCCATAGGGCAATACATCATTTCTTCCAAAGCTGAGCATTTATTTTATTTATAATTTCATTTCAGGTACAGCTCAGGGGGCCACAGACGGGTCAAAGAACACTCACCCACCTAAAGTTAAACTGGTAAGAAAACACTGGCTGGCATCAGGACACAAAGATAAAACCCTGCTGCTGAGGAGCGGGGGAGAAAAAGAAACTCTCAGAGTTAAATGTGAGTAAAAGGGTCTATGAAAATAACAGGTTCATCTGGCCAGTCCCTAAATTACAACTAGGCAACTTATCCAGAATGAGCAGTCTTCCAGAGAGCGAGAGGGCAAGTGTCCACAGAGCCTGAGGGGAATTAGGCCCACCAGCACATAGGGGGCATCCAAGACTGGGAACCAGCACATAGCGGGCATTCGAGACCGGGCAAGGCTGGAGGATCAGCACCTGCACACTAGTGCCACTCGGTACCAGGACACCTAAGGCACAGAGCTGAGCTGGGGAGGTAGCTCGGGTACAGTGGCTGATGACTATGCACAAGGCCCTGGGTTCAATTAAAGAAAGGGGGAGAGGGAGAGATGGGAGAGGAGAGGGAGAGGGGAGAGGAGAGGGAAAGGGGAGAGGAGAGGGAAAGGGGAGAGGGAGAGAAGGGAGGGGTGGGAGAGAGAGAGAAAGAGAAAATAAAATACACAGAACTCATGGAAGAGACTTAAATAATTAAATGGATAGACATTTACTACAAAAGTTGGTTTATTTCTCCTTCCTGTGTTTTGTATTTTCCTTTTATGTCAGTAAACAAGCAATAAAGTGATCAAAAATCCTCATGATTAAATATCATCAACAAGTTCATCACACACATTTTGAAGTATAAAGCAAGAGATTGAAAAATATTTGCTAATTCAAAGCAAATTAGGTATCCCTCAAAATTGCACATTTTCCTACTAGTTTGTTTACATAATTTAAAATACATATAGTGACCTTAAAACACCGATTAATATAGAATTCACAGCCTTGAATACATACACTACCTTCTTCTAAAGACAACACCCCTCAGACCTAGAAACCCATCAGCGTGAGTCAACATCACACACTTTACGCTTCTGGAACACTTCCAGGATTTTCCTCTAATTCTGTCTTCTGCTGAGGGAACTCCAGGAACCTAGTAGTGACAGAGATCAATCCTCCAAAAATAGGGCTGAGCAGATTCGCTTCCCAGAGGGCCCTGAAGTTCCCAGACAGCAAATCTGGGGTTGAGAGCTACACAATGGAATGTTCAAGATAACTAATGTGCCTGATTGTCCTCAAAATCACAAAAGGCCTCCAGTTGTCAAAGCTAATTGTGAGTGAAGACGCAGAACAAGTTGACAATAATTGGGAGATAGTCTGCTTCTTTAGCAAACGACTCTGAGACAGACTCTGAGACAGTGCCGGAGCCAACAAGCACGTGGCGCCATCTTTCCCAGCTCAGCTGGTAGAGGTGTTCTTAGTCCATGATGAGTTTGCAGCTCAACCCTGCAGGAGCTCTTTTTCAAGTTTTGGTGCTTCAGAGGTGAGCCACTCTCTGCAAACTTGTTACCAAAGCAAAATGCAATGATCCTTTTTATTCATTATCCATGCAAACCATGTGCAGCTCTCTCCTGTTCATCAATTCTTGAGGCTGCAGTACAGGTTCCAAGGCCAATATGATACCAGGGTTAAAGGCATAAACCTCAAAGGGCCAACAGGGATGCAGGTAGATTCATACACCATCCAGTACATTCATGAAACAATAAAAATCATCAATAGTAATTCCTATAGTGTAGAAAAATAATGCAGTCTTCACTCCTGGCCAGTGTCCAGGGGGGCTGGCAGTGTTGAAGAGGTCTGGTAAGCCGAGGTTATGTTAGCACTCTTAGACAACCCCAAATGTAGTGAATTAAAAGATCTTATAGTCTCGTGTCTCCCACTGTTCTTTTTTTCTTGTGGGCACAGTCACTCACTCAATATGTGAGCTTGTCTCCTTTGCACAAGAGAGATTATTTCCCTCACTATTAATGGTGAGATAAACAGAATTGTACAACTAGTCTGTGAAGAGAAGAAAGTATTAAATATGCAGTGACAACTTACTTCAGTTAGAGCATCATGTTTTGGACATAAACAATGGGTCTGAACAATTACATTCGTTTTGATTATTTAGAAAGATAATTTTAATCTTCAGTGAATTAGAAAATGATTTTGAAAATTACAGTTAATATCACAACATACTAAATGACATATTAGCTATCAAAAAATAACTTAAGTGAAGGATTTCCATTAGGTAGAGCAAAACACTTTTGCTGCAGCCTCAGCAAAAAACAGGGTTTCACTGATGGAAATTGTTTTTCTACAACAGCATGACCACACCAGCAGGGTCTTCAGAAGCTACTTCCCTTTACTTAGCAGGGAGGCCAAGGATGGAACCAGTCATATGGCACCATCTCCAGAAGCCAGGAGGTAACTAAAAGAGAGCTCCAGAGGCTTCCTGGGGTTGCCGATGCCAGACAAGAAGACAACCCCACGTCCTAGGGAGGCTAAGGATGCCTCCAATCAGGATGGCCCAAATCTAGGGATAGGACACTACATGCATCCTTGGAGGACAAGGCCACCACCAGACTCTCAAGTAGATCTGTCTTGTGCACTATTCCACCAATAGTGTGGCAGAGTGTGTAACACGCCTATGCATCACTTTGAAAGCACAAGGCCTTATTTCAATATTGGCTGTTTCCCAGAGAGTACAAAATCTCAGCCAAGAGTGTCTAAGGTGTAACTACTATTTCCTCCAGAGATGTTCATCATTCAGAACCTGCACACAGGACAGTGTTAATCAGATCAATGCTTCTTTTTTAACTCTATGTTGCTTGGCACACACTGTAATTTCCTTCAGAAATCTCAAATTATATTTTAGCAGATAGAGAACAACCCAGAAGAGTGCACTGATTAACGGTTGGCAGATCTTAAGTAAGTCCCTTGTTGTTCATCTGGCATTATAAATAGCAACACTCATTAGACTCAGATCAAGGATAAACTGAGGATCCTTTTCCTCCTTGAGAAAAGAATGTGTATTTTTGACTAATAAAACATTACTTTTCACAAAAGGGTCTTTAAAAGCAATCAGAAATTTTGCTATTTCTCAAAAAGTGACTTAAATAAATACTCTAAACAAAATTACTAAGAAAAATGACAAGTTTATGAAAAAAAAAAAAAAAAGGCATACACTTACCATGAGAATGAAAAAGTAGAAAACCCACATCCATCCTAAGTTGTCCTGGATTAAAGACACCAAATACTAAAAGGAAGAGAAATGAATTACAGTATAATTCTTAATAAATTAATAAAATGAAGTAGCTAAAAAGTGGACTAACAGCTATCTTAGAAAATCAGAAGGGAGTTAGGGTTTGTATGCCCATTTACAAAGCCCTTCCACGGACATGTTCCCATTTAAGCTTTATTAATGGTTCATTCTGTAAGCTTTCAGGGTGCAAATACAAAAACTGTATAAAAGATGTTACATTCAGGTTTATTTTTATTCACTCTGCTATTCAGAGAGGAAGATGAACATCCTCAAACCACTCTCACTCAAGCATTCTGTCTTCCAATAAAAGGAACAATCCATGCTTTCAAAATGCTTTGTCTTCTACATGAGCTGCTCACTTTTCAGCTCCGCCATTCACACAGGACTGCTGCTCTTCCTCGACACTCTACTGCATGTTCTTTTATTTCACATTCAATTACTAAAGATTCTCATAGCATTTAATCCATTCTTTTTTGATTACAACAAAATGGACCTCACATAAAAGTTGCTGTTTTAGGCCAGCCATGGTGGTGCACGCCTGTAATCCCGGTGGCTGAGGAGGCTGAGGCAGGATGATTACAAATTCAAAGCCAGCCTCAGCAAAAGCAAGGTGCTAAGCTACTCAGTGAGACCCTGTTTTTAAATAAAATGGGCTGGATGGGGCTCAGTGGTCGAGTGCCCCTGAGTTCAATCCCAGGTGCCAAAAAAAAAAAAAGAGTTGTTGTCTTAACTACTTCTAAGTGTATGCAACAGTGGCATCAGTTACATTCACAATGTTGTGCAACCATGACCACTTTTACCAAAAGTTTCATCACCCAATAGAAATTTTTGTACCTGTTAAGAAGTAATTCCTCATGGCCCCCTTCTGACTCCAGGAATTTCCCTAACTGTAGATGTTTGTCCTTTTGTGTACGGCTCACTTCATCTAGCACAGCATTTTCAAGGTCTAACCGTATTGTAAGCATGTATCAGAACTTTATTCCTTTTATGGTGAAGAGTATTCCACTGTATATATACACCACATTTTATTTATCCACTCATCTGTTAGATACCTTGACTGTTCCCACCCTTTAGCTATCAGGAATGATGATACAACGAACAGGAGCTGGCATACAAATACCAGGGTGCCTGTGTTTAATTTTGGGGGGGAAATACTGAGGAGTAGAATTGCTTGATCTTATGATAATTCCATATTTATTTATTATTTTTTTACATTCCCACCAGCAATGCATGGCTCTGATTTCTCCACACGCTCACCAACATTTGATATTTCATAATTTTCTGATTACAGCTTCCCACAGGCATGAAGTTGCATCCCTGAGTTCTATAGTTATTTTTGCTGTTGCTTTCATACTGGGGATTGAATCCAGGGGTGCTTTTCCACTAAGCTTTTTTTATTTTTTATTTTGAGACAGGGTCTAAGTTGCTGAGGCCTCATTAAGTTGCTGAGGCTGGCCTGGAACTTGTAATCCTTCCACCTCAGCCTCCCAAGTAGATAGGATCACAGGTTTGCGAACCACATCTGGCTCTCTCCCTGTTTTTTCTTTTCTTTGCTTTTTTTTTTTTTTTTTTTAGATATACATGACAGTGATGACAGTGGAATGTATTTTGACATATTAGACATAAATGGAGTATAACTTCCCATTCTTGTGGTTGTACATGATGTGGAGTTTCACGGTCATGTATACATATAAGAACATAGGAAAGTCATGTCCAATTCCTTTTACTGTCTTTCCTATTCCCATTCCCCTTCCCTACCTGTCTAATCCTCCTTTGTCTAATCCAATGAACTTGTATTCCTTGCCCCCTTGTTGTATATTAGCATCTGCATATCAGGCATTTGGCCTTTGGATTTGGGGGACTGGTTTATTTCACTTAGCATGGTAGTCTCCAGTTCCATCCACTTACCAGCAAATGCCATAAAGTCACTTTTTATGGCTAATATTTCTTTTTTTTTTTTTTGTACCAGGGATTGAACTCAGGGGCATTCAATCACTGAGCCACATTTCTAGCCCTATTTCATATTTTATTTAATACAGGGCCTCACTGAGTTGCTTAGTACCTTACTTTTGCTGAGGCTGCCTTTGAACTAGGGATCCTCCTGACTCAACCTTCCAAGCCACTGGGATTACAGGCATGCACCACCATATCCAGCCTGAGTAATATTTCATTGTGTATCCATTCATCTGTTGAAGGGCACCAAGGTTAGTTCCATAGCTTAGTTATAGTGATTTGAGCTGTTAGAAATGTTGATGGGGCTGTGTCACTAAAGCATATACTCCATGCTTGGGTATATCCAAGGAGTGGGCTGACTGGGTCAAATGGTGGTTCTATTCTAAGTTTTCTGAGGAATCTCCGTACTACTTTCCAGAGTGAGTGCACCAATTTGCAGTCCCACTACAAATGTACAAGTGAACCTTTCCCCCTACATCCTCACCAACATTGTTACTTGCATTTTTTGATAATTGCCATCTGACTGTAGTGAGATGGAATCTCTGTGTGGTTTAATTTGCATTTCTCTAATTACTGGAGATGTTGAACATTTTTTCATATATTTTTTGCCTATTCATATTTCTTCTTCTGTGAAGTTCCTGTTTGGTTCCTTTGCCCATTTATTGATTGGGATTTGGTTTGGATGTTAAGTTTTATGGGTTCTTTATATATTCTGGAGATTAATGCTGTATCTAAAGTGCAGGTTGCAAAGATTTTTGTTTCCTTTGCTGTAAAGAAACTTTTTAGTTTGATATCCCATTTATTGATTCTTGATTTTACTTCTTGTGCTTCAGATGTCTTGTTGAGGAAGTCAGTTCCTAAACCAAAATGCTAGAAAGCTGGATGGGCCTACTGGGTCTCTGGTCTAATGCCTAGGTCCTTGATCTATTTTAACTTTTGTGCAGGACAATATTGGTTAAATTTTATTATGCTACACATGGATTTCCAGTTTTCCCAACACCATTTGTTGAAGAGGCTATCTTTTCTCCGATGTAGGTTTATGGTGCCTCTTGTCTAGTATGAGATAACTATATTTATGTGGGTTTGTCTTTGTGTCTTCTGTTCTATTCCATTGGTCTTCATGTCTGTTTTGGTGCCAATACCATGCTGTTTTTCTTACGATAGCTCTGTAGTATAATTTAAGGTCTGGTATTATGATGCTTCCTACTTTTCTTTTCTTACTAAGTACTGCTTTGATTATTCTGGGACTCTTGTTTTTACAAATGAATTTCATGACTGCTTTTTCTATTTCTATGAAGAATGTCATTGGAATTTTAATAGGAATTGCATTAAGTCTGTATAGTGCTTTTTTTTTGGTAGTATGGCCATTTTGACAATATTAGTTCTGTCTATCCATAATTCTGGGAGATCTTTCCATCTTCTAAGGTCTTCTTTAATTTCTTTCTTTAGTGTTCTGTAGTTTTCATTGTAGAAGTTTTTTTTACCTTTTTGTTAGATTGATTTCCAAGTTGTGTTGTGGTTTGGTTTTTGGGGTTTTTTTGTTTTGTTTTGGAGGCTGTTGTAATGGGATTTTGTTCCTAATTTCTCTTTCAGCTGATTCATTGTTGGTGATTAGAAATGCAACTGATTTACAGGTGTTAATTTTATATCCTGCTACTTTGCTGAATTTGTTTATGAGTTCTAGGAATTTTCTGGTGGAGATTTTTGGGTGTTCTAAATGTAGAATCATGTCATAGGTAAATATCTTCCTGTATTTTTGATTTGCATTTTCCTAATGAATAAGAATGTTGAGAATATTCTGTATATACTTGTCATGAAAATTTGTCCCTGTGTTTTCTCCTAAGAGTTTTACAATCTTAGCTCTTAAGGTTGGTCTTTAATCCATTTTGAGTTAACATTTGTACAGGACAAAGTAAGTATCCAACTTCACTCTTTTGCAAGAGGATATCCAGTTTTCCCAATACCATTTGTTGAAGAGATCATCCTTTCCCCCATTGAATTGTCTTGGAACCCTTGTCAAAAATTGATTGACCATAGACTTGAGGGTCACCTGTGTGCTTTTATCACATACTGTTTAAATTTTATAAGTGGGAAAATTAAAGCAAAACAATTAGCCTAGATTACAACATGTAAAGCAAAAAAGTAGAGGTTTAATCACCTGTGAAAGGAAGCATAATGGCTATCTGAACACTCTGACTGCAACTTTTGTGTGGGGTGGGTAGGTACTAGGGATGGGCCCCAGGGGTACCCTACACTGAGCTGCATTCCCTGCCCTTTTCATTTTTCATTTTGAGACAGTATCTCACTAAGTTGCCAAAGTGGCCTCAAACTTGCCTCATCCTCCCAGAGTTACTGGGATTACAGGCATGAGCCACCATGCCCAGCAAATTTATCTTTTATTAAAACAGCATAGTCAATAAGTAATTTACATAACATAAAGTTCACCTTTTAAAAGTGTAAAACTAAACGGTTTCTAGTGTATCTTCAGAGTTGTACAATCTTGCCTAAATGTAATTTTTCGACATTATCATCAGCCCTAAAAAGACTTTTACCCATCAGTAGTCATTCCCCCATCCCACCCAGACCTACACAACCCTCAATCCAATTTTTTCCCAATAGAGTTATCTATTATGGACATCTCATATGAATATAACAAATATAGATAGATAGACAAGACAGACAGACACACTTTTCTTTTTCAGTACTGGATATTAAACCCAAAATCTCATGCATGCTAGGCAAGTGCTCTACTACTAAGCTACATCCCTGGCCCTATCAGCATAATATATATATATATATATATATGTTTTTTTTGGTACTGGGGATTGAACCCAGGAGCACTTAACCACTGAGCCACATCCCAGCCCTTTTCATTTTGTATTTTAAGACATTCTCATTAAGTCACTTAGGGCCTTTCTAAGTTGCTGAGGCTGGCCTCAAACTTGCAATCCTCCTGCCTCAGCCTTCCGAGACTCTGGGACTACAGGCATGCACCACTATGCCTGACTCAGCAAAATATTTTTGAGGTTCACCTATCATTCTTTTCTAACTGCTGTTTATCCATTCATCAGCTGATAGACATTTGGGTTGTTTCTCCTTTTTAGCTTCTATGAATAATGAAGCTTATGAACGTTTATGTATACGTTTTAATGTGGAGATCTGTTCTCATTTCCCTTGGACATGTACTACAACTTTATCTTACTGAGCCCCAGTTATGTGTCCAAATGGAGCTAAGCACTGGAAACACAAAGACGGATGAAACACAGTCCTTGTTCCCAGGAATACAGAGCCTGGTACAGAGGACAGATGGACAAACCAGTAAAGGTTGATGCACGAGGCTGAGTGCTCTGCTGGAGGTATGCATCCACTGCTATGGCAACCAGAAAGAGTAAACAATGAATTATTTTCTTGAGAAGACAGAAGAAGGGGCAGCAACCATATTACTCAGGGCAGTCAGGGGAATGGCTGAGGGATAGGCTAAGAGAGTTTGAATCTGAAGTCCTAGAGTTTGTGATTTCAGGCAATGGGACATCCTTTGGAAATCAACATGGAGGAGGGAGGCTAGGGTACAGTGCTTGCCTCTCACGCATAAGGCCCTGGGTTCAATCCCCAGCAACACACACACACACACACACAACACAGAGGAGGAATGAGCACAGCTAACTATGATTCACTCCTGATATGCTTCCATGACCATGGAGGTCAGTCTAATGCTGACCCAGTCCAGTTAGGGATCTCAACATTGGCAGGTGAGATATTCTAAATAAAAGTGTACTCCCTGAAATGCAAGTATAATTCACGTATTTAATTAATGAAGAACACATCAGTGAGGAAGTATATTGGGAAAAGGAAGCCCAATACAGTCATTCTTTATCCTAAAAATTTAGATCTCTGACCTGATAACCAATAACATTTTAAAATTTCTACTCCAAAGTATGATCACATAATTCTCCAAATCTTGCTAAGGTTTTTCCCCTTCTAGTCTTATAACCAAATATGCTGAGCATGCAATTTGCCAACTGCATCATGCATTCCTTCTTTGATAACTTAGCAAATACCATAAGTCTATTGTGTGTGCCAAGCACCAGCTAGGTATGGGGGCTACAGAAGAATACAAGTCAAAATGCCACCTTTGTGGGCAAGAGGGAGGTCAACAATAAGCTACACTTCATGGCTGGAAGGTGACAAGTAGTAAGATGATTTACTTCTATACCCACTTTGTCATTTACCACCAGTGATCAGAAACTCACTGCCCCCACAGTAGGCAAGCTAGCAAACTTCCAAGCTATTAGTGACCTTCTAAATGTCCACTAAGAAGCTCTGTCCTTCAGTGCTTCTCCTGACCTTTCCACATCTATGGCCTACTGACCAATGCCTACTCAAATGCTATTCCCTTGACTGCATGTGACACTGGGCTTTCTCTGAGGATCCATCTGCATTCTCTTTCCCCAGTAAATGCCTCATCCACTTCCATGGGTTCAACCCATGGAGACAAGTCCCAAATCCATATTTTTGTAAAATTACCATATCCCATGAGAGGTATGTTTCATGACATATCTCTTCCTGAAAGAAAGCCTGAATTTAAGCAAAAAGGAGCAATTTTAATAGTTCTGACTACATATGGTAAGCCAATCTTAGCTTACGGCTCTCTAATGTCAGACTGTATAAGAATCACCACAAAGGCCTAGGGAAACCTAGGCCCTAGGCCCACCACAGGGAATCTGCAGTAAGCCCTGTGTCTGAATCCCAGATGATTCTGATACAAGACACTTATGCACCACGCTCTGAAATATTCAGGTTTCTGGGCATGCAGGAAACAATGTGCCTCAGAGGCAGTTGCAGAGTCCAGGGTCCCATGTGACAGGGACCCATGTAAAGAACAGATGTACAGGGACACGTATGCTTTTAGAAGAGAGACACTAAAAAGAGGAGAAAAATGGGGTCTGTATGCAGATGGGGATAATAGATGCATGCATCTCACACCATCCCCACTTGGAGCGCCAAGTTTGGCCTGGGAAGAAGGGGGCGGTGGACTGAGGCAGAAGGATCAATCTTAAGAAGTGTTAGTTTATTTGCAGACAGGAAGAATCTGCAGGTAAAAATGGAAAGAAGAAACTAAGAAAGGCAGAGGGCCTTCCGCATCAGTTCACAACAGCTGGGCCACAGAGGAGATGAAAACCTCGGGCTTTCGGCATAGCAAGTATTCCACAGCACGAGAGTGCCACCTACTGTGGCCCAGACAGTGGCACTTTTCCACTCGCCATGAAAGATTTAGCATTTAATCCCAACCCCTCTCTGTTCTCTCACCTGGCCCACGGCAGCTCCAATGCTCCCGGTTCCATCAACAATTCCTGTGACCGTGGCTAAAGCCTCACTGCTCCCTTGGATCAGCTCTTGGCGACCCAGGTCCGCTGAAATAGCTGAGCTAATCATATTAGAAGGTCCACCAATAAAAAACCCTGAAGTCAAAAACAGAACAGGTTCTTATTAAAACATGATTCATATCAACACTAGCAAGCCATTGGATAGGGCAAAATATCATTCTGACACTGTAATTAGTAGGTTAAAGAGGAATGGAAAGAAAAAGGAAAGTCCCAGATAGTATCATATTCAAACTGCTAACATCCACTCCTCTGGGATGTTCTTCAGTTGTGTCACACTGTGCTGTATTGATAGAAAATACACAGAAAGGAAACATGTAGCAAATCATGTGACATTTGCTTTAATAACCAATGGCACCAGCTCGTCAAATTTTATTATGGCAGAGCTGTGTCATTCAATCAGTTGACCACCTAAATTTAACCAAACACAGAAAAACACAGCAGGCAAAAAAGAAGTTATGTCAATAGTACAGGTGACTAAACCGGTTTCCGATGTGGTGTCTTCCCAGCCACTTTCTGAAGTCATACCCAAAGGTGGGCAACATCAAAATTTTTAGAAAATGCCTCAGCAGGGACTGCTTCTGTCATAAAAGGACTGAGAAAGCCAGTTAGAGCGGAGACTAGAATCTAGAAAAGGAGCCACCTTTCTATCACTTGAGTTCCCTGTAACTAGCTTTTAGTAGCAATCAGATTAAAAGAAAGAAGAACAGCACAGTGAACCGAGCCATCGCCGTACCTGTAACCGTCATCAGAAGCGCATTGATGGACTTATTATTTGGAGAACCTGTGAGGAGACACAGACACGCCACAGTGACTACAAAAGCAGTGACATGGGCGTCCACAAAGAGGACACAAAGGCCTGAATCTTATGACCTCACAAATCCCTCCCAGAGCCACAAAGAGAAACTGTTCTTTCAAGGCCTTTTCCAACTTTTATTTGTAATGTCTGCCTCTTGCTGGTGCCCAAGTTAATGAGACTTTTAAAAGCTAGAGAAAAGCTCTCCCCACCACCACAGCACTGAGGACATACCCATGTCTACTAATCAGCATCTTCCTGCTTTTGAAACCTCACCCCTTTTATTGTTTTATTGGCTCTAATGCTGTCCCTCTGGAGCCACCCCTCAAACAAGCACACACACTCCCAGGCAAGCTTTTAAACAAATCGGCCAGGCAAGAGACGCCAGCTTCCTCCAACACAAATGAAACCATTGATGTCAGTGTTTCCCGGCACTCACGGGACTATACAAAGGTGACATATCATGCCTCAGCTGGTCACAGACTCTTTCCAGGGCTGGTCTCTTACTCTAGGAAAATGCTTATTCCCCAGAGATTAGGAAACAATGTAAGGAATACTCACGACTGTACCCAACAAGGGAGCCAATTGCAAGGATCAGGCTAAGGGCCAACACTGGTGCTCTCTTCTGTAGGATGTCAGAGATGAAGCCTTGCAAAGTCCCACCTTCAAACAAAGAGACACTAGTCACAACCATTTCAGCTGTGAGCTCAGCTGCCTGTACTCTCTAGAATTATCAGGTCCAGCCAAAAATGGCACCAGCTCTCCCCGAAAGTCCACACCACCATTTCCTTTTAGAAGATAAACTGACTTAAATCAGCATGATGGTCGATGAGGACAGGACACCACAAATCCAACATCAAGATAAGAAAAATCATCAAAACGAGCCATGATTTCTTACTTACTATTTTCCCTACAAAAACAAATTGTGAGTGCTTTTCTTGATTTTTTCCCCAGCTTTTTAATTTAAAAGATGATCCTAGAAGGACCACACTTCACAAGCTACTAGCAGTGCCAATCAAAAATTCACTAAAATGAAATGCAGCAATTATGAGTTAGTAGGAACAAACAGGTGAGGAGGCTCAGGAGGTGATGTGATTCCTTTGGGTAACACTGTCATATTCAAATAAAATGCCAGTTTGAGTTTTAGAGGATATGGAACACCTGGTACACCCCCATCATATGGCCGCATCTAGGCAATTTTAATTTCAGAAGGCACAAAAGTATGGTCAGGTCTAACTGGCTGTGGTGGTGCAGGCCTGTAATCCCAATGACTGGGGAAGCTGAGGCAGGAGGATCACAAGTTCAAGGCCACCCTGGGCAACTTAGTGAGATCCTGTCTCAAAATAAAATTTAAAAAGGGCTGGTGTTGTAGCTCCGTGGTAGAGAGCTTCTGGATTATGGAAGAAGATGCATTTTCATATACCTAAGGTTTCTGTTCTGTTTTTGTTTTGGGTACCAGGAATTGAATCCAGGAGCACTTAAAACTGAGCCATATCCCCAGCCCTTTTTTTAATTTTTTGCTTAGAGAAAGAGTCTTGCTAAGTTGCTTAGGGCCTTGCTACATTGCTGAGGCTGACTTTGAAGCTGTAATCCTCCTGCCTCAGCCTCCCAGGCTGCTGGGATTACAGGTATGTGCCACCTCATCTGGTGATATTAAGGTTTTGCCATAGCCATGTATGTGTCACACCCACTGAACTTTCTTATTTAAGAGTTTACTTCCTTGTTCAAGTTGGCTATAGCACAAAGTCACTGTTAAAATCTGATGTGCAAAATGAAGCAATTACAAAACACAAAAATTAATTTCTGCTGTTGTCCCTACCTCTAGGATCTGACAATGTACACACCATGGTTTTATTTCTGCTTCCTAGGCTGGGGCCGGGGGGCGGGGGGTGGAGAAGGTGAGAGGCAGTGAAAATGAACACATTCACATCTAACTTGAATCTCTCACACAATTAGCTTCAGAGCCAAGATAGCACTGAAAGTATACAAAAGAATTGTGTTTAAAGAGATCTCAAGCATGTCCTAAGACAAAAGAAGTGACTCCTAAACAAAAAACTGAGAAAAGAGAGCCCTCTAAATCACAGCCGTGCCTTGGGTTGGATCTTCCTTCCTATGGATAATTTTTTAAGAGTTTGTTCACTGTTAGGACAGTTTAGGAAAAATAGTTACAGAATGAGTAATTAAACTTTAAATGGAGTCAGACTCCACAATCCAGTAAAAGGCTACTAGTGACTAACTATTATGGAAGAAGATGCACTTTCATATACCTATGATTCCTCCAACATCGTACCAGATGGACAACTGGTCAGCTTCAGCCTCCTTCCATCTGAAGTTGTTACTCAGATAAAAGGGCAACCAGAAGAAGAAGGAGTAATTCACCAGTTTCAGGCAGGCGTAGGCCAGTGAATACTATAAGAAAAACATACAACTATCAGCAAGGGACAAACAGCATGGCACAACATGACCACAGCTTTTAATGTAATTAAAAAACACAGCAAAATATAAGAACTTGGGATGAATGGTGCCTGACTTCAAAAATTAAACAACTTTACAAATTCCCATCTGCCCACTTATACCCAGTCTCCCTCTCTCCGTACTCCAGGTAGCTTCCAGAAAGGCCTTTGGAATAAAAAACAAAACCAAAAACATAGTATGTGGCTCTTTCTTAACGATCCCTGGCTTCTCCAAGTTCTCTGGTAGAAGCAAACCAGAGTTTGGAATCCAGAAGGCAGGGCACAGACCTCTATTTCCTTATTCAGATAAAGGTGAATGATATTCTTGCCACTGACCAGCATTAGCCACAGGCAAATAAAAATAGCAACCATCACAGCTCTTACTTTCTTAGTTATTCTACTTTCAGCAAAGTTAATATTGTGAACCACAGAGAGCATGTGACTGAGCCAAAGATCTAAGAAAAGCATCCTCATTAGAACCACTTTCACATCAGAGCTTCCAAAAGCCCTGCATTTGCACACCAGTGGCAGAGAAGAGCACCTCTGGTGGGTCGAAAGGAAGAACATGCTAGTCCTAGGCCCTGTCACTCTGTCTTGAGGGAAAGCAGTTGCGGGTGCCTTAAGATGGTGGTGGGGCTGAGACTCCTACATTCAACACATTATTACCAGGAAATCCTGTCAGTTAGCATCAAAGGAAAGGGGGGAGGAGCAGAGGGACTGACTTCAAAGGATGTCTGGCCAGTACACTCCTGGCCATGGGGCGGCCAGTTATTCCCTGGGTATCACTTGTTTTAAAAAAGCTCCCCTGGCAGGACAGCAGCCACCCCTAGAGAGCCATGTCCCAGTCACCAGAGCATGCTGTCCAGACAGCCTGCTAAAGACAAAGGCACCAAGTTAACTCGGCCTCCCTCACACCCCGACCCTCGACAGAGAACAATGGCTGGTGAGTGCAAAGAAACAGCAGCAGAGTTCAATGTGCAGTCACAACAAATTTAAAGTCTGTCTCAAAAATTAAACTCTTACTAGTGGAATATTTTAGGATCTAGTTGAAAGATTATAGCTTGCCCTAAGAACAGGACTAAAGGAACTTGCATTTCCCTTATATTAAAAATCATCTTTGGCCAGGCGCGGTGGGCACGCCTATTATCCCAGCAGCTCAGGAGGCTAAGGCAGGAGGCTCACAAGTTCAAGGCGAGTCTCAGCAAGTGAGGTGCTAAGAAACTCACTGAGACCCTGTCTCTAAATAAAATACACAATAGAGCTAAAGATGTGGCTCAAGGGTCGAGTGCCCCTAAGTTCAATCCCTGGTACAAAAAAAAAAAAAAAAAACTTTGAGTTTAAAAATTGCAAGAAATCACACTTACATTTTAACTCCTAATTACCTATTTGTTCTAAGTGTTTTCCTATCTTGGGGTCACAGGCAGAAGAGGACTGTGAAGTCTAAAATAAGATGTCCTGTAGAACTAAATCTACCTGGGGGGGTTACACTCATGAAGCACCATTAAAAAACAAAATGACAAAAAAACAGGTGCTTGTTCACAACACAATAACCCAATGTCCTGGCCACCAGGGAAGACTGGGGTAATCTCTATCCCACTGGAGAGGGAACTAGACATGAGGGTGGGTTGAGTGACTTATCCCAGGTCTCACAGAAAGGGAGTGGGCAAGCTGGAAACATCACCTATGCCTCAGTTTCCACTCCAGCCTCAGCATCTGCACCGCAAGACAGCACCGCTGCAACAAGAGGGAGCCCGTCAGGCGTTAGGGAGCTCTCCTGACTGCTGGGCTGGGGCAGTGCTGGAACGCTGCCCAAGAGACACTGTGGCATATTCTGCTCTAGACCTTCTAAAAAAGGGCAATTTTTCCCCTGGGAAGATTAGAATGTAGGCAAACAAGGCAGTCAATGAGCCGTTCAAACCATTCTTGGTCTGTGTGTAAGTCTATATACCTCAATAAACCATAAAATACAAATTTAAAAATCTCAATTTTGAGCAGGGCGTGGTGGCACATGCCTGTAATCCCAGCAGCTCAGGAGGCTGAGACATGAAGACAGCGAGATCAAAGCCAGCCTCAGTAATGGTGAGGCGCTAAGCAACTCAGTCAGACCTGTCTCTAAATAAAATAAAAATAGGGATGGGGGGGCTGGGGATGTGGCTCAAGCGGTAGCGCACTTGTCTGGCATGCGTGTGGCCCGGGTTCAAGCCTCAGCACCACATACCAACAAAGATGTTGTGTCTGCTGAGAACTAAAAAATAAATATTAAAAATTCTCTCTCTCTCTCTCTCTTAAAAAAAAAAAAAAAATAGGGGTGGGGATGTGGCTCAGTGGTCAAGTAGCCCTGAGTTCAATCCCTGGTATCCCCCCAAAAAAATCTCAATTTTGCTTTCTTAATCCCATGCCAGATGACTGTCTGCAAGCAGGGCTAGTAGGTCAAGTCTGGCGACGCCCATCCTGTCTATGGCCTTTTAACTCTGAAGGTCAGTGAAGATTTTATGGTTCCCTCAGAGCTGAAAATATTTACTCTCTGACTCTTCATGGAAAAGGTCTGCCAATCCTACTTCAGATATAAGATAAGCTGAGGGACACTATGCAACATATCTCTGAACATGCATTCCTAAAACCAAGCTATCAAAGAGAAGCTAAACACTCAAAAAGCTTTATCCCAGGCAGAGTAAATCTCAAGGCCACACCGCCTTACTGGCTGTGGTAAGGGATTTGAACAGTTCTTACCGGTATGACACCAGGAAGACAGCAAGCCTGGTAGAAGCTTATTGCCTTCACTTGGGCAACAGTTCTGGACTCTTGAATAGAGTAATTAGGCTCATACTCATCTTCGTTTTCAGTACCATTAATTAACGGTCTGTGGGAATCTTCTTCAAAGTTTTCTTCTGCTTCAATACCTGGGAGACCTAAAACAACAATAAAAACCACCATTTACAGAGCACCTACTGTGTGCCTGGCATGGTGCAAAGGGTTTGCATATATCATCACTTACGGGATTGATATTTTTCTTATTTATTGGTGCTCAGGGGAGCACTATCACTGAGCTACATCCTCAGCCTTTTTTCTATTTTGAGACAGGGCCTCACTAAGTTGCTAAACTTAGTGAACCTCAAACTTGTGATCCTCCTGCTTCAACCTCCTGAATTCCTGGGGTTATGAGTGTGTACCATTGCACCTAGCTGATGTTATTTCCATTGCCATTGTGTAGAAGAAACAACTGCGGCCAGGGGTGGTGGCACATGCCTGTAATCCCAGCTACTCTGAAGACTGAGGTAGGCAGATCAAAAGATTGAGGCCAGCCTGGGTGACTTCATAAGACATTTCTCAAAATAAAATAAACAGGGCTGAGGATGTAGCTCAGTAGTTGAGTACTTGCCTAGCTTGGGAAAAGCTCTGGGTTTAATCCCCAAAACCACACACACACAAAAAGTACAGAAATACAATCATGCTAATTCGTAGTCAATATCTCAATGATAAAAATCATCTGGAGGCTGGGTGTGTAGCTCAGTGGCAGAGCGCTTGCCGAGGCATGAGTAAAACTCTGGGTTCCATCCCCAGAGGTACAAAAAAAAAAAAAAGTTTTTCAAATGCTAAGACTCATCTATAAAAGGTGTGCATCGCTTCATTTGAACACACAGTTATGGCATGAATGGGACAATGCCAACAAGACACAAATGCCAACTGTACTCCTTTATTTTGCTGGAAGGAATTCACAGTTCTCCTAGGGAAAAAAAGAAATTCCATTTCTGGACTCATATTTCCCTTTGCCTCTTACAATAAGACATTTTGAATAAAGACACAGCTTCTCCTCACCAATTTCTTCTGGTGACACCAGGAGTCCAAAGAAGATGACGATCCCACCAGCAAACTGCACAGACGCTGTCACCAGAAAGGCATACTGAACGAGAGGGAAGAGGTTCTTACAGGGCAATCATCACCAAGTCCTTAAAGATGAGTGTAGGGTAAAGAGGAGTGGGGCAGGAAGGAGGGGGAGACTAGGGAGGACTTCAGCACCAGGCGATCTGCCAAGTGTTCCACTTGTGACTTCTCCTTTCATCTTCCCAAGGACTCTACAGAGCTCACATAGGATCAACAGGGCCCCTTAGACACTCAGTCGCCCTATTGGATTATAAAAGCAAGACTAGCTCTCAAAATTTTTGCATCACCCAGTCTCCCATAAAAGGCACGGTATCTGCTCTCAAAGACACTACATCCAGGTGTGGGGATTAAACAGCACTTACGATAAGACAATACAATACTACAAGGTAGCATGCAGCTAAATAAATGAGAAGTCCAGCCCCAGCAAGAAACACAGGGATGGGGCCAGTGACACATGCTTATGGTCCCAGCAACGGAGACTGTCACTGGAAGATCTTAAGTTTGAGGCCAGCCTGGGCAACTTAGCAAAACCCTGTCTCAAAATAAAATAAAAAAGAAGAAAGGACTGAGGCTGTAATTCAGTGGTAGAGCACCTGGCATTCAATTCCTAGTACTTCAAAAGGAAGAAAGGAAGACAGACAGACAGAATTCAAACGGAGAAAGCAGCTAAAAAGAGGTTGAAGCAGCTGGACAACAATTTAGGAAAGAGTGGAAAGTCAAAGCAATGAATGTCCTATCTTTCCAGGCAAAGGAGAGCAAAGGTACAGGGTGGGAACAAGGTGGAAAGTCACTGCATGACCAAAGGCAAGGGCTTCTGTGAGGGGATAACAGGGAATAAAACTGACTTGGAAAGGTGACACCAAATTAAAGTAACTGCCAAGCTGGGGGTGTAACTCAGCAGTAAGCAGGAGGGAGAGGCCCTGGGTTCCATCCCCAGGACCACAAAAAATTAAGAAAGAATAAGTAAAGAAGGTTGGGGATATAGCTCAGTTGGTAGAGTGCTTGCCTTGCACGCATGAGGCCCGGGTTCAATCCCCAGCACCAGAAAAAAAAAAAAAAAAGAATTTGTAAAGTCGACAGCCAGTCTGCATTTGTTTAAGAGACTGAAGCCTGATATAGACAGATAATCTGAATTTTTCAACAAGTGAGTTACAAAATAAAAGCAATGTTCCCAGAAGTCAAGCCTGGGAACACCACAGGGGTACAGTGAAGTTTCCATCTGGACCAATCAGAACAATCCAGGAGCAAAGCTAAGCAGACTAGAATAAAGGTGCCTGTTCAGAGGATGGGCTTCTAACTAGACCAGAATTCCTGGTGAGTTGCCTTTAAAAATTTATCCACTTTCTGAGTACTATTGGTGAACAATTGTAATCCCAGCAACCTAGGAGGCTGAGGCAGGAGGATCACAATTAAGACCAGCCTTAGCAATTTAGTGAGATCCTTTCTCAAAATAAAAATTTAAAAAATGCTGGGGATGTAGCTCAGTAGGAGAGTGCCCCCAAGTTTAATCTCTAGTACTGCCAAAAAAAGTCCACTTTTTAAAAAGGCAACTTAATCTTAATTATTTTGGTTTTTGAGTAGGAAATATAGTCATATGATTCAAGGAAGAAAAAATAATAATAAAAATTCCTCTTTCCTACACTTTGCAATCCATTCATTCTTTCAATTGCCCCAACACTGTTGTCATTTAAATTTTTTTAAATTTTTACTGTTCAGAGATTGTTTCAGAAACCCACAAGCTGATACATATATACTCATTGATTCTTCCTTGTTTTTTTTTTTTTTTGAGGGGGGGGGGTGTTTTTTCATTTATTTATTTATTTATTTTTGCAGTGCTGGGGATTAAACCCAGGGCCTTATGCATGCAAGGCAAGCTCTCTACCAACTGAGCTATATCCCAAATCCCTTCCTTGTTTTTTTTAACAAATGGCATCATGTATACTGCTTTTTGCCTTGCTACCTGAGACCTTTCCAGTGCCTGATCTCTAACAGCAGTTTCCTGACCTACTACTTCATAGCTGCCAAGTCCTCCTTTGAACAGGTTTATCAGAATTTAACTATTTCTCTATTGGCTGACTTTGTTTTCAATCTTTGGCTACTACAAAAAATGCCAAAATAGCTTTGTATATACATCTTTTTTTACATGTCTAACAACATTCACCTGAGCAATTAATTCCTGGTGGTGAACTGCAAGTTGCCACTTTGACAGACATTGCCATCTCGAACCCCTCAAGAGGTTCTGTACTCTCCAGTCTCAATGCCCATCTATTCATGGCCTCAGGAACACAACTCATCAATTTTGGGGGCTACACTAATAAGCATACAGTGTAGCTTTCTTTCTCTCCCTCCATTTTTATTGGTGTAGTTGTAATTTACATTTCTCCACTAACACCTAAGCTCCACAAGGATGGAGATTTTTGCCCCTTTTGGTCAATACTATATTCTTCAGTGTCTTACAGCAAAGCAAGGAACTTAAATATTTACTAAATGAATGTATAAGAGAAAAGTTGAATATTTTTTCATACATTTTTAAGCTATTTCTACTTCCTTTCCATCATCTATCTATTCAAATCCTTTATCTTTCTTTCTGTATCATTTGGTGTTTTCCTTAAAATTTGTGAGTGTTCTTTATATAAGACAGATTAGCAACATAGGTTACAAAGATCTATTTTTATGTATCAAAGAGATTAGCCCTTTATCATATCATGGATTTCAAATACTTTTTCTCAATTAGTGCTAGTCTTTAGACTCTTTTTACGGCTCATCTGCCATGAATAATTTGTTTTCAGGGGGGAGGACAGGTTACTGGGGATTTAACCCAGGGGTACTTTATCACTGAGCTGCATCCCCAGCCCTTTTTATTTTAAGACAGGAACTTGCTAAGTTGCTTAGGGCCTCACTAAGTTACTGACCCTGGCCTTGAACTTGAGATCCTCCTGCCTCAGCCTCCTGAGCCACTGGGATTATAGGCAAATTTTGTGTTTTAATTCACTGGAAGCTTTTTCAATTTTAACAAAAGCTGTGCCCTACCCAGACACAGCTCTACATAGTCTTGAATATGCACAAGGGGAAAAAAGCTTATGTTTACACACATACACACACAGACACAAATCTGAAAAAATACCCACCTCATAACCATACTGTAGAACAGATGAAGCTAGACATGCTCCCAAAATATTGCCCACAGAAGCACAGGCACTCCAGAGACCAAAGACAACTCCTCGCCTGGGAAGGAGAACAGAAAAAAAGAGTAGACAATAAGGTCATAAGGGACTCAATATGCAGTTCAGAATAAAAATTACCATAACATGAAAAATTCACTTTATAAACTAAGCATGAATTTTAAAATGTTTTAAATACACCAAATGACAAAACATCAGGTCTCTTCTAAGATTTTATGATATTAAAGTTCAATCTGGGGCTCATCCAAAGACACTTAAAAGAATTAATAAAGAAAAACTGCAAATTGGGAGTATATCTATGTATCACTTATCTGATAAAAGACTTTTACATAGAACATAAAAAAAACCCTCAAAACTCAATGAAAACAGACAATGCACTAGAATTTTAAAGAACATGAACCTATAATCATCTCAAAATAAAGTTTAAAAAATAGGGCAAAAGACCTTTATAAGAAAAGAAATAGGGGGCTGGGGATGTGGCTCAAGCGGTAGCACGCTCGCCTGGCATGCGTGCGGCCCGGGTTCGATCCTCAGCACCACATACAAACAAAGATGTGTCCGCCGAAAACTAAAATAAATAAATAAATAAATATTTTTAAGAAAGAAAAGAAATAGATGATGCAAATAAGTATGACAAGATGTTCAACATCACTAGACATAAGGGAAATGCAAGTTAAGATCATCAGATATCACTGTCATACCTCTAAGAATGGCTAAAATCAAGAAACAAGCAACCAAATGCTGGCAAGAAGGTAAAATAGGAACTCTTTCACTCTGCTGGTGGGAATGCAAAATGGTACCACTGTGGAAGAGATTTCAAGTTTCTTAAAAGGATAAAACCCAACTACCTCATAAATTGGCCATTCTACTTCTTGGTATTTACTCAAGAAAAATAAAGGCATATATCCACACAAAGATTTGTACACAAATGTTCACTGTAGCTGCATCTGTAGTACCAAAGCCTGAAAACAACTCAAATGTCCATCAACAGCTAAAGAGAGAAACATATGTGGTATGATGAACTACTACCCAGCTATGAAAAAGAATGAACTACTGATACTTACAACGGGAATTTCTAATTGTGCTGAATTAAAGCAGATAAAAAAAGAGCACATACTAAATGATTCCATTTATATAAAATTTTGGAAATTAAAATTAAAAAGATAGAAAGCAGATCAATGGTTGCCTAGAGATGGCAGCAAAAGGATGAGCACACGAGCAGTAGGAAGGAGGAATTCTCAAGGGGCATTTCTTCATGATGATGATGGCTTACAGGCGCACACAGGCCAAAGCTCTTCAAAATGTACACTTTACACATGTGCAGCTTGTTGTGACCTCAATAGAATCAAGAGAAAAAATAAGAGATGGACCAGGTGGTGGAGTAGAAATTAGCAATTATGACAGTTCCGGAGAGAAATGACCAGCTCTGAACATAGAGAACAGCAGTAGGGCAGGTGAAAGAAAAAGAATTTAAGAGGTTTATCTTTTTAACATTCAAATTTGTACTTTATTCTATTTCATATTTTTCTAACCTCCCCAAGGCAGAGGGAATTTCACAAACAAATGAGATGACAGACACTGTATAGTGAGAAACAAAGTGTGAAAATTTGAGCTCCACCACTTCCAGCCACCACTCGTGCTCTCGTTTGTAAGAAGGCAGCTCCTCATAGGACTGGGTGCAGTAAGACACAATCCTGGTGAAAGAGCTGGACAGGAGCATTATTATTGTCTAAAATTGTTTGAAAAAACCACATTCCCTAATGATCCAGAGCAACAACAGGATTCAGCCAAAGTAACAGCTACTATTAGGACCAATGTCCTCCCTCAGCAGATCACTCAATTTCTCTGGGCCACCAACTTTTTTCATCTGGAAAACAAATGATTTGACCTAAATAATCTCTCAACTCATCTCCAGTTCTAAAATACTCCAGTTGTATAAAAATATTAAAGGCCATCAAGAGAGTCATGGAGGGAAAGTCAGAAAGTCAGGATCCAAATAACACTGGCTGACCAAAAACACGGTGTAGAAGAGTCTGGCTGACAATAACTCTGTTTTAAGCTGCCCGGTCTTTGAGGGCTTTGTGGGTTACTGTGACAGTTCACAGGAAGTCAGAGTCTAAGTAAGGCACTACTGATTCCACTCCCAGCACAACCTGTTAAAAAAAAAAACGGGCTCCTCTCAAAGTTGAACTGCAACAGCTCTCTTCACCTTTTCTGTGACTGATTCACAGAATAATGAAGCGGTCAGTTTGTTCAGTCACTGGTATCAAACACTCTGTCAGCTGATTTATAAAAGCTTAAAATTCTCTCAAAATGACACTAGTTAAAACTAGTATCTTTCAAGTGACAGTATGTCAGTTGGTCTACCTTTGTTCTTTCTATCTTCTGATTAATAATAAAAAGTAACATATTATAATTTCTAAAAATCACAAATTACCTTAAAATCTTAATAGGAAAAAAAAAAAATCAGCCCACTAACTGAGAGGCTGAGGCAAGAGGATCACAAATTCAAGGCCAGACTGGACAGCTCAGCAAGACTCTGTCTCAAAATGAACAACATAAAGGCCGGGACGCAGCTCAGAGACAGAGCGCCCTTGGGTCCACTCCCCAGCACTCCCCCACCCTGCCCTGCCCCACCAAAAGACTAAGCAGGCCCTCTCATCTACTCCAAGAGAAAAACTGGAATACCCTGGGCCACGCCTTTTACATTGGGACTGTGTTAAACCAGTGACGCCAGAGTTAGAACAGAAATCACCAGCACCCGGAAACACCATCAGAACGTTCTTAAATGGTATTTATTCTAACCACAAGACGTTTTATAGATGAACTTTCAAAACATTATAGAGCATAAGTGACCAAGTTAACTCCCATTATAAAACAGGGAAAGCTGGGAAACGGAGAGGAACCACTCAGAGCATGGACTCGACACCAGTGGGCGACAATGTCTGTGGCACACACTGGTCCTCATGTACACTAGCCACACACAAGAAAAGACAGAGCCGTACACGAGTGAATAAGCAGCTGACAACACATGATAAACAGCAATGTTCCAGAAGGCAACGATCCATAATGAATCAAGTCTCTGCTTATCCCAGCTTATTTCCCACCCTATGACTCTGGCATGGCTCTTCTTCCTGGGTGGCCCAGAGGATGCATTAGGAGGTACCTATCTTCATCCTGTGGTCCATATCACACACACAGAGTCAAATGTAATCTCACAACTATGTGAAGGGTTAAGGGAAAAGTGTCCAATCTAAACCCCAAAGTTTGGCATTCTCCATTTGAATCTTGTTCCTGTCCCTGCTATGTGACTTTAGGCAAGTCACATGAATAAATTTTAGCCTCAGTTTTTTTCTCTTTATGTAAGAAAGTTAAACTCGATCACTGCATTTCAAAAAAGGACAGAGAAGGCAAAACTCAAAAGAAGATAAGAGATGGGACGTCATGTGAGACAAGGTTTTCTAAAGGAAAGATGAGTTTAAAAAAAAAAAAAAGCAGACACAGTGGTACACATCTGTATTCCCAGTGACTCAGGAGGCTGTGGAAGGAGGATCTTAAGTTAAAGGCCAGTTTCAATAAGTTAGGGAGACCCTGTCTCAAAATAAAAGAAAGCTAGGGATGTGGCTCATTGGTGCCCTGGAGTTCAATCCCCTGTACTGGGGGGAAAAGACAAAAACGAGATATACTGCTTTAGCTCACACTCAAAACTGAAGATGGCCAGCAGTGTTAGCAACGTGTCGTGCTGGCAAAGACCATCTCTGAGGTCCACACCATCTTCCATACACTTCAACATGAACTGAAATAGAAGGAAGATGTGAACAGGGGGCTCTAGTTTGGATCTGGAATGGCCCTCAAGGGCTCGTGTGTAGGAAGCTTGGTGGTACTATGGAAGGTGGTGGAAACCTCAGGAGGCATAGGTCACTGGAGGCGTGTTCTTGAAGGGTGTGTCTTGTCCCAGCACCCACCACCACCTTCCCAGCCATCATGAGGTGAACAGCTTCGCTCTACACAGAATGTTCTGCCCACACCCCCCAGTCCCAGCAACAATGGAAGCAAGTGACCATGGACTGAAACATCTGAAACCAGGAGCCATAATACACTTCCCTTCTCTGCGTTATTTTCCGGGGTTTTGGGTCATGGTGGCAGAAAGCTGACTAACAGTGTCTAAGGCATCAAGTTAATAGACTCTGATGAGACTGAATAATCCAACATTAAATCCATTTGAGTAATGGGAGAGAAAGGAAGAGTCATACCCATTTTTCCCAAACCAGTTGCCCATCACAGCGACCACACAGGGCCAGCCAGTGGACTGCAGCAGGCCATTCACAATCCACAGGCAACAATAGAGCCATCTGTTGTAGAAGTGCAGCCATTCTGTGAGAGTGCCAAAGACAAACACCTTTGAAAGAAAGAAAAAGGAACATGTGACGTCCACGTGGACACCGTGAGTATGCCCAACTGCCACCAGACTACACCGAGAATACATTTAAACAACTCGCACCCGAAAACAGTGTGGCGAACAGGGTGGCTCAGAGCTGGCACCAAGAAAGTAACCATGGGATCACCAGAAAGGCAAAGGCGTCAAATGATCAAATCAGTATCATCTTTCTAACTGGCATCTTCCACTCTTAAAAGTGAAGGCCTCATTTTTCACCTCATTTTACATCTCCCTCCACTGCTTCCTTGGGCCTGTGTGGTGGAGGGAGGGCCGTCTCCCAAGGGCTGCAGAACTGAACAAGCCCTGCGTGTATGTGTGTAGTTAAAGTCTGGATAAAGTCCCGGGTAAAGTCCTGGGCAAGTCAAACTGTCGGGACTGCAGCTACCCAGCTCACCTGCGTATGAGAAACCTGACTTGTCATCTGCTGAGTCATTTAGTAGGTTCCATTGAGTGGCTGCTTTTTTCCAGGCATCTGGCTCAAGGGGATATTTTATTTGCAGTCAAAATCTATTTTGAGAATACTTGGCATGGGTTACAAAATAGTATGTAGAATACTGTCAAGTTCCAGTTATGAGACATTCTGGAATAAGCAGAACTATAAGGACTGAAAAACAGTCTGCAGTTGCCAGGAGCTAGGGAGAGCATGGGTAGTTTATGCTCCCCTACTTGTGGGCACTCAGAACTATATGCTAAAATGGTGAGTTTATGTATGAAACTAAATTTCAAAAAGTATTTTTAGAAGCATATGTACAGGTTTAAAAATATGTACAGGTTTAAAAGTATGTACAGGTTTAAACCGGGTACAGTGACACATACCTATAATCCCAGCAGCTCAGGAGGCTGAGGCAGGAGGATCATGAGTTCAAAACCAGCCTCAGCAATGATGAGGTGCTAAGCAACTCAGTGAGACCCTGTCTCTAAATAAAATACAAAATAGGGGGCTCATGGTAGAGCGCTTGTTGTGGCTCAGTGGTAGAGCGCTTGCCTAGCATGTGTGAGGCACTGGGTTTGATCTTCAGCACCATATAAAAATAAATAAATAAAATAAAGGTATTGTGTCCACCTACAACAACAACAACAAAAAAAATAGGGCTGAGGATGTGGCTCAGTGGTCGAGTGCCCCCGAGTTCAATCCCCAGTACCAAAAAATATATATATACAGGTTTAAGTATGTGTGGGAGAGCAGCTTTTGAATAGATAAATAAGTTCCTAAAATTTCAAGGAAACAAGTTTTTTCCTGGACTCAAAAGGTGGTCATTGAAAACAATAATAAATTAGGGTCTAAATAAACTCCGTGGTTTCAAATCAAACCATGAACTCCTTAACAGATGCTAGTAAGCAATAAAGATGGATCTGATCTGGATGCTGCCTTTCACAGCACCTAACATGCCAGGCACGTTCCAAAGGCTGTGCACTCACACCCACCTCAGTGTAACCCAGGAGCGGGGGCACACACATCCCTTTCCAAATGAAGAAACTGAAGCCTCTTTTCAAATGAAGAGAGCATGAGCTAGGAAACTACAGACAGGATGGAAACCGAGGCCATCCTGACCTATGAAATCTGTGGTCTTCACCCTAGTGCCACCCATTCTCAGGGTAAGCAAGACCCAAACAGAAATAACCAGGCTAAGCAGCAGAAGATTATAAGGGACTGCAAAGAAACACAGGCACAGAAGCTTAGAGGAGAGATGAATGTTACTTTCAGGAGCGGAGCCCATCAAGTCAGGCGTTCTGACAGAAGGGTCATGTGGCCAAGGACTTGAAGGAGATGCTGGGGCCAACCACAGAGAGTTGAAGAGTGCCACTCAATGAGGGAAAAAGAGCAGGGACCAAAGCACCAAGGTAGAAAAAAGCAGGACAGGTCCAGGGCTTGGAAAGTAGCTTAGTGTGGTTACAGCAAAAGGTGAAGCAGAGTGACAAACAGGATTGGACCGGAGCTGGGACCAATCAACTAACACATGCTGTTATGAAACTTCTAATGAGGGTCAAGGAAGGACCTCATCAGAATCCCACGTTAAAAAGATCTACCTAAGAGACAGGCATGCAAGGGATCAGGACACTGAAGAATAAACTCACTGTTCTACCCTACCTCGAGAAGTAGGGCGTCACTTGGAGTCTAAATCTGACCAAAATAAAATGATTATTACTATAATCATAAAATCTTTCCAGCTTACCACTAATGCAGAGGAGCACATGCCAAAAGAGAGAACCCATCGTAAATTCAGCCGATCCCCAACGATGCCACTGATGAAAAGACCCTAAAAACAAAGCATTTCATTTTATAGTCCTAAATAGTAACACAGTCTAAAAGAGGTAACATGCATTGCAAGGCAAAGGAGGCAAACGAAACTCGGGGATTTAAATCAAACCTAATTCACATGCCTAGACTAGCTGGCTTTGGGCATCACAATGTTTCAGGAAATAACACTACACTGCAGATCTTAGACACCACGACCTCCTTATTCAGGGAGACCATGTTATTCTTGATTCCCTAACAGACACAAACGAGTGAGAATTCTGATAAAACAAACACTCCAGTAATTCACCTTCTAGAGATATTAATCCTTCAACACCACTCAGCTTTCCCACGGTTTCCCTTAGCATTTACTCTCCGACATGTCCCCACACACCCTGCAGTTTTGGCCACATCCTCCTAAGAAAGGGGACAGAAGCCTGCAGGGCTCACTGGCTTCCTGTTTAATCTGCCCCTGGGCTTCACAGCATCACAAGGCAGGGAGGGGAGGGAGGCAGATATGACAATTAGGTGAAGAGAGGTATGATCTCCTCCCACTGTGTGGCAGAATTAAAATGCTGAGATAAGGCCAAGAAAAGAGACTGAAGACCAGGGCTACACACGTTAGGTTTCCTCCATAAATACATACAAATAAATTTCTTGACCTCATTATCATCCAAATTAAACATTTCTAATAAGGTGACTATCTAAATAAGAGAAAATTTAGATGACAAACATCATAATAAATTGCTTCTCCCCTTAATATAGCCAGGTCTTCGCTTCCTCAAAAGAGGGCACACCACCACTAAAGCAGATGTGATGATCTGCAGTGGCCTCTTAACAATCTGTACTCTATGTGA